ACTACCATTGCGAAGTTTTCTTTTTTTGTCTTCCTTTTTTCTATGTTTTGTTTTACTTTCTTAACACGAGTTCACTGTACGCACGTATTTTATTTTTTTGTTATTGTGCGTTGTATATGTATATTAGGGTGTCCCTTATTTTAAAAGTATTATGAATCCATGCGGTCAACGTCTGAATGTTATGTTTAGATGTCAAAAATAAGTTTGCAACTATCTAGAGGCGACAGGCAAGCTTCTAAACCTTGCCTGTAGTGTCATGTAGATTTTACAATTTACTGTTTATCATGACGTGCCCTGAAATCTCTCTAAGCTAATAAGACAATTTTTATTGATTCATAGTGCATGTACCAGGTTTTTATCTTAGTTTTTAGCTTGAAAAACAAGAAAAAAACTATTCCAGCCAATAAAATTGAATTTTAAAGCTTACACGCGAATTGAAATACGAAATAAATCAAAAAATTTCATCCTTTTTTTTCAATTAATCGGTTTTTGCGGACTCAAACTGTAGTGGTAGGACTATTGTACTGTGACAGAAAAAAAGTAGAGAAAAAGACCTTTAATTTCTTTTTTTAAACGTTTTTCTAGCTCATTTATAATGCAAGATATGCGTGTTTTAAGGTAGAAATTTTAAGTACATTATGTGCGATTTTATGTCATCTCTCCCAGCCCCTGATTCAGTCAAATCGCTAAATTTTAAACTCGCTGTAAAAATAGCTAAATACACTTAAATAGAAAAAGTAACACATCGTATCGATAGGAAATTGCCTCAATTTTCCGATGGTGAGGTCAGATTTCCCGAAATTTTCCGTTTTATCCGGGAAAATCGCCGAGAAAACTTTAAAGTCGATTTTGTTTAAAAATTCATTAGAACGTTTTTGTATATCCGGCTGGCGTGGTGAGCGCGAAACCCAGGTTTTTCTACTTTTTCTCGCTATATTATCTCGCTGAATTCAAAAAAATCTTCTCTGGAAAATATCTATATCGATGGAAAATTTTCTGATATTTCCAACTGAACTATTTGAAAAAATCGTAAATATGAATTTTTTCGAGAAAATCGACTTTAACCCGTCCAATATCATGAGACCATAATTTTGACTAATTTTTCCAGACGTTATTCTTTTATGAAAGCATTGTCAAATTAATGTGAAAATACCATATATAGTGGGATTTTTATCGCTTTTTTCAAATCTAGTGTCAGATTTACTATATATGAAACGGTTTAAAAAATTTTTTATCCTGCAAACAGTGGTCAACAATTTCGAGCCTGTTTTCCAGGAAAACTACACGATGAAATTGGCTGAAATTTGGTGCAGTTGTTCACAGCATCAATACCGGGGGTTCCACAGAGCTGTTTTTCGAAAATCAGCCTGGAAAAAAAGTTACGAAAATATATATTTTGTGTGCTTGGTCGGTAAAAATTGTGGCCAAGGCATCACCTGAAACCAAAAAAACGTGGTTTTTAAACATTTGCCTTCAAAATGATCGTATTTTTCTCCACGATTACGCATTTAGATCGGGTTAAAACTCTGGATTTGGTAGCATACAGGCCTACACTAAAAGTAATCGGCGTTGGTCCATCCAGATTCAAGATGGCAGCCACCAAAACAGCTGATTGTAACCGGAATGTAAAAAAGAGCTTTGGTATTTTTTCACTCGGTAAAAATAGGCTCTGCGAAAAAATTTTATTGCACAAAAAGTGCTTAGAATTTATCAAGAAACAAGCTTGAATTTTTTCAGAATTTTTTGGATGATTTTGAATGATTTTGGATATGGCCATTTTATAAAAATTTCCAAATCGTCCAAAAAATTCTAAAAAAATTCACGTGTTTTTCTTGATTAATTCTTATCACTTTTTGTTCAATAAAATTTTTTCACAGAGTCCATTTTTACTAAGTGAAAAAATATCAAAGCTTTTTTTTAACATTTTTAGCTACAATCAGCTGTTTTGGTTGGTACCATCTTGAATCTGGATGAGCCAACGCCACTAACTTTAAGCATAGGCCTGTATGCTGTCAAATCCAGAGTCTTAAGGCGGTAAACCACCCTGAACACCAAAAAATTCATGACATTTTCGGGATCGGATATTAAAAAAACTATACTAGATATTCAAATTCGGTAAAAAGCTCTTGTTTATACAACATTTGAACAATGTTTTTCAACATTTATAGTGGCCATAATAAACAAAATGGCAGCTTGGCAGCATAGTCCCTGCGTCGTCTTTATTTTGAAGTGCTTCGGATTAATTAAAATTTAATAAAATTTTATTAAATTGTATGTGGAAGTAGTCAAAGTTGATCTTATGCTTATAGTCCAGTGCAGATAGATATTTTTTGGCAAAAATTACTAACAGTAAACGGCCTACACCACCTTGTAGAGGGTGTCCGTGGGAACATCTGGACGAAAATGGCCGCGATTTGGACTTGAACTTTTGAACACTGGGCAGCAGGCAACACAGCTTCCCCGCCGGCGCTTGGTTCCCCCACTCTGACCGCCCGATTGCCCGAGCGAGCGGAATTGCGCAAAAATTCGCCAACTTTGCGAACGTTTTTTTTCACACTTTTTCGCGTTGGATCGAACAGGTCGGGTATGGGTTTTAAAGGTAATACATTAAAGTTTCTAAATTCGTTGGAACGAAGTCGATAAGTTAATTTTAAAAGATTATTTCAACGAATAACCGAGGACATGATTTTTCGCCAGAAAAAATTGCAAATTGAATAACTCGAAAACTATAAGTCGCACAGAATTCGGGTTTTGCACAGTTGTTCTACGTGATAAGAACTATCTTTGTGCAAAATTTCGTTTCTTAAATCCAAAAATTGAGGGAGCTATGAATTTTCGAAAATTTGGCCAAAAACCACGTTTTTCCGCACTTTTGTCCATTTTTCTCGGAAACTACTTATCCGATCGGGTCGTAATCAAATTCGTTGGAAAGGTGATTAAATTTCCTACATTTTCTCTCTCGGGAGCATCGCTCTAGCTGCTATAGTTTTCGAAATATATTAAAAAAACCAAAAGTGGCACTCAAATTTTGTGGTTTTTTTGTTAATAACAAAAAAAGTTCAAGTCCAAATCGCGGCCATTTTCGTCCAGATGTTCCCACGGACACCCTCTACAAGGTGGTGTAGGCCGTTTACTGTTAGTAATTTTTGCCAAAAACAGGCATTTTTCAGATAAGTGCACTGGACTATTAGCTTGAGGTTGCGTTGATGGATAATGATCCATCGAAGAAAATGAAATGACATAGAACTTAGTCGTGTCAAGCCATCACTTAGAATCTTACGACAAACAGCTTAGATATCCTCAATGCTCTTCGCTGAAGGGTCATAGGCTAATACAAGTTAATTTAAGTGTTTGTAAGTATTTAACTGGACAATTATTTGAGCCCCCTTTGAGCCCTTAACGCATATAGCTGCAGAGTCGCAGTCGTAGTGAGTGTAAAAAATGTCTGACGAAGGAGGATGGATTGTAGTTACGTTTGTGGCTGAGAAGACAGTTTATGTTGTCCCGAGTAACTGGCGTTTGCCAAACAATCGATGCTACTGGCCGCCATTCAAATCGGACTATAGAGTTTTATTGGCATCTCAAAATCGCATGGAACCCGACGACATCATTTGGGAGGAATATGAAATTGCAGAGAAAACCTACCGAGCTGGTAAGTTGAATAAAAAGCTATATATATATTAGTATATTATAAAAGGATAGGTGAAACTTTATGATCGTATTGTATATTTATCGTATCGTAGCGATACCTCATTATATATGAAGTTACGTATTATTATAATAACATTTTTACATTTACATTTTTTACGTTATTTTAAGAGAGGATAACTTGAAAATTGTTTTTTTTATAATTTTCTCAGAAACGTTCGATATTGGGTATGAGAAAATGAAACTGAGCGAGAACACGTCCGAAGTCGACGAGAAATTCGAGGAATTGCAAAATCCTACATCAAGACATGATCGGCACGTGATGAAACTTACGAGTGACTCTGAAGAAAATGTTGGTGGAAATCAAAGCATGACGGAATTCCTCGCTGCTCCGACACCACCAAGAAATAGTTCAAGTGAGAATAAGTTATCTTTTCAATAATGTTTAATCAAGTAATTCAGTAATTAATAAAAAATTTAAATTGACATTCTGTTTTCCCGAAAAGTTGGAGTTACTGGAACTCCTCTAGAAGTTACTCAAAACGTTAACATGCATTTGTCTTCATCATCGGTTTCCAATGGAATACTGCACGAGAATGTCCGTGGACACTTGAATTCAACTCCAATTCAAAAGGACCTTGACGATGCCTCTCGACGTTTGAATCGAACTTCAACTTCATATAAACCTTCTCAAAATACAACTTCAAAGGAAAACGAAGAAAGAAGCTTGAACATGATTAGTGAGTAGATTTATTTAGAACTTTATATGAATAAAAATTTATTCTGAAAATTTTTCTGTTTTTTTAGACTTACTACAAGAGGTTTTATTAAACCAAAATAGGATGGAGCTCAATATGCAAAGGCTACAGGAAAATCGAGTTGCAGACTGCCAAATGGACATGATGACAATTGATTCCTTCGACAAAAACCTTCCCTTACAAAATATAGATGCCTTCGATTTATTTGAGAGGGAGATAGCCACGAGAGAGTACTATTTGGCACAATGTGTAATAATTATTACGTTTTATTTTGCAGTTTCATAAATAATTTTATTGAGCTATTGTTGAATTAAAATTTTCTTCTTCATTTTTTCTTTACAGCGCAATTACTTGAGAGGCTTTGGAGCACCCACTGGACACTTATACTACTCGAGGAGTACTTAAAGCACTGATGACTGATGAATTAGCAATGAAATTTAGCTTCAAAGGAAAAAAGCGTGGAAGAATACAAAAAAGGGCAATAGTTAAAACGCACGTCTACAAAAGACTGGTGGAAATAGGTAATAATTTTGCAATGTTATTAAAATTAAAAGATAATCATCGTTTTTTCTATTTGCAATTGTCCAGGCAAAAATGCCAAACTACACCAGAACCGAAATTAAAGTTACTACACAAGCCTGGTTGAAAGAAGCAAAAAAACGAGTAGGCAGAGCAATTGCCGGTCAAGTGCCAGCTGATGAGTAAGTGACTGTGAGACGTTACTCCGGATGGCTTTCGCTAATTTTACATTTGGTGACAGCAATAACAAAGCCCTTTTTATACTGTTGTACTATATGTGTTGTTGATAGTGCTTTGGTATTTTTAATATACATGCTAAGTTTTAATGCTCATTTAAAAAGCTTTTTTTACAAATCATTCCGAAGCTCCGAAAAAAGCAAAGTACAACTTGATATTTTTTACAGTTTTCAATTCAACTTTAAAACAATCTTATCATAAATAATAATTTACTTTTACAATAAACATTCTTAAAGTATATTTGAAAGTTTTTCCAAACGCATCGTTGTGCATGAGACTGCTATGTCGAACAAATGAAACGTTGAGTGATTCTTGTACATGTAAAATTATATTTAAAAAAAATTATTTCAATAATTCCCAACGCAGAGCTGTTAAATAAAATTTTACATTAAATCACATAGTAATAATAATCTATGAGCTATGTTTCATTGCTTTCTTCTATTTACAAAGTTTATTTTGTTGCTCATTTATGAATGCGATTGTGGATATACTTTGGCTATAAATATAGTGTATTAAGGGGAGTCATACACCAATTGGTTCTTATTGGGCATTTTTGTGATATACATCACAGTTTGATGTCAACCTATGTTTTCAACATCAATTTGGCATCTTTGGACCCTACAAAATGTGGAAAAAAGTGTCAGAATAGACCTCTGCGTCTAAAAATAGCTTATTTTTGCTATTTTAGGATTTTGGCACTGTGCGCAAGGTTCAGACCAGAGTTTTTGAAGTACAGACCTCTAGTACGTCTCAAAATCTTCATAAAATTACTCTTTATGGGCTGAGTTTTCTAGAATTTTGATTTAGNCTCAATTCGCGGCCATTGCAAGCGATCAATGACGATCCAACGGATCTCACGGCGCTGACACCCGCGCACTTTCTCATTGGCACCGCAACATGTACCATACCTGAACCGTCGACGCTCGATTTGTCCATCTCCGGACTTTCTCGGCTACAGATGCTGAGAAATATGTATGAGCATTTTTGGACGAGATGGTCCTCGGAATATCTGCAGGCGCTACAACATCGACCAAAGTGGCAGAAGAGCAACACCCAGATTCGCGTCGGACAGTTATGCGTGATCCGATCGGAATTGACGCCGCCGTGCAAATGGGCCCTCGCACGCATAACTCAAGTTCACCCTGGAAAGGATGGCCTGGTACGAGTGGTATCAGTGAAAACTGCCACGTCTGTATTCAAAAGACCTGTCACCAAACTTAGCATTCTACCACCAGCAGAAGATGATTCGCCTAATATCGGCGAAGGCGGGCGGAATGTTCCGGATTGTGAATGAATCGACGAGGCAAACACCGTTTAAATTGTAAATAATGTAAATAGTACCGTTAGTTTTAAGTTTTGTTATTGTAGTATGTAAGAGTTATTGTAGTATATAAGTCAGTCGTCAAGAGAACGCTCAACTGGTAGTCTCGTGTTCAAATATCAATAAAGTAGTAACGGTTTATTCTCAACTCAGAGTTTCTTTCGAAAGTCGATCAATTTTCCCTTCATCTCCTCGCATCATCTCGAACATTTTGGTCCTTCGGAGTCGAATTTATTTCAAGAGTGAACTATCAAGTATCAGCGGTTATCGAAATTATGTCCAGCTTTAAGGATCTTGTTGAAGAGCAACAAGAGGCCCTCGACTTATTGTCCAGAGCGTTCATCAATCTTAAGAAGAAGGGTCCGGCTACGCTGGGTGCAATCGAAGTCCGACGAAAGAATTTAGCGACAAAGTGGAATGACATCGTCGAGAGGCATAATGAAATAGTGGGTCTAGCTAGTGGAGCTGATTTGAAGGATCCGTATTTCAAGGAAAACTTCTTCGAAAACGCCGAAGAGGTATTTATGGACGAAGAGGCGAAGTTTGTCGACGAGGAGTTGGCGATAAAAAGAGCGGACAGGGAGACGACGTCGGGCCACGAGCAGAACGGGTCGGAGCGTTGTGCCGTGGGACCGACTCGCAATCGCAAGCTACCAACGTTGCAGCTGCCGACTTTTTCCGGTAAATATGCGGATTGGAAACCGTATAAGGATTTGTTTCAGGCAATTATGAACGATGCCACCGATATAACCGACGTCGAGCGATTTTATTATTTGAAGTCAAGCCTGACTGAAGATGCCGCCAAAACTATCAAGAATCTGGCCGTTACAGAAGAAAATTACAAACGAGCTTGGGATCGCCTAGTGTCACATTATGACAACAAGAGAGCGCTCGTTCATTCAGCATTGAGCGAGCTATTTACAATATCGCCATTGAACAAGGAATCCTCAAAGGCGCTGCGGGCGCTGCGAGACCGGACGAATGAAGTCGTTGAGACTTTGGAAGCGCTCGGACGGCCGATACGATGTGATGACGTATTAGTTTTCATGACGGTACAGCGACTCGACCCCAACACCAGCCGGGATTGGCAGACTAGTCGAGCAAGTACTACCGAGCCGCCGAGCTATGAAGATTTGGATAGCTTTCTCAAGACCCGAGTAGAAGCGTTGGAGTTCGTCGAGATGCCAAAGGCTACGGCGGATCAAGGATTACCAGGAAAAAGTAGCGGAACTTCAGCCAACTCAAGATCGGGCACAAATCAGGCACGTGTATCGGCGCATACAGCCTCATCGCAACCCTCAAGAACGGATAACCAGTGCACGTATTGCAAGCACGAGCACTACATCGCAGCGTGCGACAGCTTTCGCGCGTTGGAGCTTGGACAGCGTAAGGCTTTCGTGCAGCGAAATAAACTGTGCTTCAACTGTTTGGGTCATCACCTCATGCGTGACTGCCGCTCTAATAAAAGCTGCAAAAGATGCCAGGAACGTCATCACTCATTGCTGCATATGGGCAACTCTCAGGCGACGGCGGACGCGTCTGGACCGCTGGACGCAACTCAGGACATATCTGTCAATGCGCATATCGCACGTCGTGGGCCTCGTCGCTCGATGCTACTGGCCACGGCGCGAATCATCGTTTCGGCCTCTCAACGTACAATGGAAGTACGTGCCCTCATCGACCCGTGCTCTGAAGCAACATTTATTTCGGAGGCACTCGCGCAGCAACTGCGCATATCACGGCAAAAGGCACTGGTCCCGGTAACCGGAGTTGGCGGTGCGCGATGTGCGACTGCCAAGTATCAAGCATTGATTTCAATTCGACCGCACTTCGATAATGGAAAGGAGTGGACGGTTCAAGCGTTGATTTTAACGCATTTATCGGACTACGTCACACCACAATACGAGCTTTTTCATCAACTAGACTTTGCCGCTGGACTGAAACTCGCAGATTACAACATCAAAGCAGCGGACAAAGTAGATGTCATCATCGGTGCTGATCTGTTCCCTGCGCTGATCAAAGGAGGACTCCGTAAAAGAGCAGATTCGACTCTCATCGCACAGGCGACGGAGCTGGGTTGGATTTTAACCGGAGCTACCGACGCTCGACCTACTGCGGCGCAGAAGTCACCCACGATCGCCAGTCACACGATCGGAGTGGATACGGAGCTGCACGAGCTCATGGAAAGATTTTGGCAGCAGGAGGATGTTGCACCTGTAAGTACTGCTTTTACGAAAGAGGAACAAGAATGTGAAGAGCATTTCGTCGCGACACATCGACGAGACGAGCATGGTCGATATATCGTTCGACTGCCGTTCAAGGGAGATGCAGCCAAGCTCGGGGACTCGAGATTGGTCGCGCAACGAACGCTGCAGCGAATGGAGCGACGCTTTGCTCAGCAACCGCAATTGGGTCAGATGTACGAAGATTTCATGTCCGAATATACATCGCTCAATCATATGAGCGAACTGCGTGTAGCCAATGAAGCAGCTTGTGAGCAATTTTATCTACCACATCATGGAGTTTTGAAGCAGAGCGGAGACAAGTCCAAACTGCGAGTCGTTTTCAATGGGTCAGTCAAGGTGGATAATGGCGCGACTTTGAACGATTGTCTGCACGTCGGACCTAAGTTGCAGACTGAGATTTTCGACATCATGCTGCGTTGGCGTAAGCTCCGATACGTCTTCTCGGCAGATATAGAGAAAATGTACCGCCAAATACTAGTCGATGAGCGTGATCGTCGATTTCAACAAATCTATTGGAGGCAAGCGCCGACGGAGGAAATGAAGACGTACCAACTTAATACAATTACCTACGGGCTTGCAAGCTCGCCATATCAGGCAATCCGGGTCCTGCAGCAATTGGCGAGTGACGAATCGGCGAGATACCCTGCGGCCTCAAGAGTTCTCAAAAATAGTGCGTATATGGATGATATACTTACAGGAGCCGACTCGCTGGAGGATGCTCGCGAATTGCAGCGCGAGCTTGCGGATCTTCTTATGGCGGGCGGATTTCCCTTGAGCAAGTGGTGCGCCAACCACCCCAGCTTATTGGAGTCATTTCCTCCCGAGAAATTAGCGGGCGCTCGAGAATACAATTGGAATGCAGGTGAGGCGGTAAGCATGCTGGGAATATCGTGGCAACCGCACGAGGATTGTTTTCGTTTCACCATTGCTGATCCGCCAACGGAGAACATAACGAAGAGAAAAGCGCTATCATTTATTGGACAGCTGTACGACCCGCTCGGGTGGATATCGCCACTGACTATCCAGTACAAGATTTTTTTACAGCGCCTTTGGACTTTAGGTTTGTCCTGGGACGATCCACTTCCGGCGCACTTGCAAGCATTGTGGCAATCACTTGTCAAGGACCTACAGAACCTCACTCAAGTCTGTATACCTCGATGGATAGGACTATCACCGACTCCAGGCACTGTCTTGGAACTTCACGGATTCGCTGACGCGTCAGAACGGGCCTATGGTGCTGTAATTTATGTACGAACAGCGATCGACGACGTTAGTTCTCGCTGCACCATCCTTACATCGAAAACAAAAGTCGCACCTTTGAAACAAGTTTCGCTGCCACGACTGGAGCTCTGCGCGGCCCATATGCTCGTGCAACTGATGAGGCGAGTCGTCGATACGATGTCGATGGTCGACGTTCCGGTGCACTTGTGGTCTGATTCGACCATTGCACTGGCCTGGATACGTGGACATCCAACGCAGTGGAAGACATACGTGGCCAATCGAGTGTCGGACATCCAGACGACGCTGCCTCAAGCCTCTTGGCACCACATCGCGGGTACGCAGAACCCCGCTGATATCGCCTCGCGCGGAGCACCGGTGGAAGCTTTGTGTTCACCCTCACTTTGGATGGACGGACCGGACATAATAACGAGCTCGGGCGACCCATGGCCTCGAGACATGAACGAAGAATTGCCGAACACAGAGCTTGAATGCAGACCGATTGCGGTGCATATCGCCAGCCGCGGGCCGGAGGAGAGTGAAATGCTGAAGAGATACTCCAGTCTCAATCGTCTGCTGCGCGTTACAGCGAGATGTATGGAATTTGTGGCGCGCTTGCGAGAGAGAAGAAAAAGAAAATCGCGAAGGCTCAGGTCAGGTGAGACGCTGGAGCTGACCCCAGCTCAGATAGACAGCGCGCTCAAGCTCTGGACTCGGCAGGTGCAGGAACTTCATTTTTCTAAGGAAATCGAGTCGTTACGGAGGTCTGTGCCCTTGTCGAGAAAAAGTGCACTGTTACGGCTGCACCCGATTCTCGATGAAGAGGGCCTACTGCGGCTGGGAGGTCGACTGCAGAATTCGTTGCTGCATTATGATGAGAAGCATCCGTACATACTCCCCAGTACATCGTTCCTTTCACTGTTGTTGGCTCGCGACGCGCACGACAGAACACTACATGGAGGAACGCAGCTCACATTGAGTTATTTGCGACGTCGCTTCTGGATTACTCAAGGTCGCGCGCTCGTTAAACGAGTAATAGGTCGCTGTATACGATGTTGGCGATATAGAGCGACTCCAACGAGTCAGCTCATGGGTGATCTCCCTGCCCTCCGAGTGCAACAGAGCCGACCGTTTCTTCACACCGGAGTCGACTATGCTGGCCCGATTAACATTAAGTGTTCCAGAGGTAGAGGAAAGGCTACTTTCAAGGGCTATATCGCCGTCTTTGTATGTTTGGCTACGCGTGCAGTTCACCTGGAAGTGGCATCTGGTTACTCGGCGCGTGATTTTTTGATGGTGTACCGGCGCTTCGTGGCTCGTCGAGGTATTTGTGCCACTCTCTCAAGTGACTGCGGAACGAATTTCATTGGCGCCGACCGAGAGCTTCGTGAGTTATTTGCCCAGGCACAGAAGCAGCCGAAAAAACTGGCACGCATGCTGAGTAACGAGGGCACGGAGTGGCGTTTTAATCCACCAGCAGCACCACACTTTGGAGGGATCTGGGAGGCAGCGGTCAAAAGCACGAAATTCCATCTCAAGAGGATAATAGGCGATACGCGTCTAACATTTGAAGAATTTTCCACTCTTCTTGCTCAAATAGAGGCGTGTCTCAATTCGCGGCCATTGCAAGCGATCAATGACGATCCAACGGATCTCACGGCGCTGACACCCGCGCACTTTCTCATTGGCACCGCAACATGTACCATACCTGAACCGTCGACGCTCGATTTGTCCATCTCCGGACTTTCTCGGCTACAGATGCTGAAAAATATGTATGAGCATTTTTGGACGAGATGGTCCTCGGAATATCTGCAGGCGCTACAACATCGACCAAAGTGGCAGAAGAGCAACACCCAGATTCGTGTCGGACAGTTATGCGTGATCCGATCGGAACTGACGCCGCCGTGCAAATGGGCCCTCGCACGCATAACTCAAGTTCACCCTGGAAAGGATGGCCTGGTACGAGTGGTATCAGTGAAAACTGCCACGTCTGTATTCAAAAGACCTGTCACCAAACTTAGCATTCTACCACCAGCAGAAGATGATTCGCCTAATATCGGCGAAGGTGGGCGGAATGTTCCGGATTGTGAATGAATCGACGAGGCAAACACCGTTTAAATTGTAAATAATGTAAATAGTACCGTTAGTTTTAAGTTTTGTTATTGTAGTACATAAGAGTTATTGTAGTATATAAGTCAGTCGCGTAGAGAATGCTCAGCTGGCAACAGCCAAGGCCTAGCCAAAGTCTCGTGTTCAAATATCAATAAAGTAGTAACGGTTTATTCTCAACTCAGAGTTTCTTTCGAAAGGTGATCAATTTCCCCTTCATCTCCTCTCATCATCTCGAACAATTTCAAATGTCCTTTCCAATAATAAAACATGCTGTAATCTAAAGTATATTTTAACTATATCACTTGTNACAGCCAAGGCCTAGCCAAAGTCTCGTGTTCAAATATCAATAAAGTAGTAACGGTTTATTCTCAACTCAGAGTTTCTTTCGAAAGGTGATCAATTTCCCCTTCATCTCCTCTCATCATCTCGAACATTTTGGTCCTTCGGAGTCGAATTTATTTCAAGAGTGAACTATCAAGTATCAGCGGTTATCGAAATTATGTCCAGCTTTAAGGATCTTGTTGAAGAGCAACAAGAGGCCCTCGACTTATTGTCCAGAGCGTTCATCAATCTTAAGAAGAAGGGTCCGGCTACGCTGGGTGCAATCGAAATCCGACGAAAGAATTTAGCGACAAAGTGGAATGACATCGTCGAGAGGCATAATGAAATAGTGGGTCTAGCTAGTGGAGCTGATTTGAAGGATCCGTATTTCAAGGAAAACTTCTTCGAAAACGCCGAAGAGGTATTTATGGACGAAGAGGCGAAGTTTGTCGATGNGCACAGCTGATTTATATTGACATTTTAGTTGCACATGTGACATTTTTATCAATTAAATCTTCACATGAGCAACATAATTAATCTTTCTGCTACTTCTGCTGGCGCAGTTCAATACTGCTATATAAGAGAGGCTAGCTTTTTGTTTACAAATTTGATTCTCAAATTTGAACACCAGAGGCAGCACTAACAGCAGCAGTACTGGCAGCCGAACGCCTTGAAAATGCCCTTTTCGAGATATTCAACTTTAAAAGTTTTCCGGCAATTTTCTCGAGGAAAATGGAAAATTTTTAATAATATGACCCCACCATCAGAAAGCTGAGGTAATTTCCTATCGAAATGGTAGTTTACTTTTTTTTTTAGGTGCATTTAGTAACTTTTACAGCGAGTTAGAAATTGCGAGATTTCGCCTAATAATGCCGCGCGGGCGAGCCATTCGAGACTTGACGTGATATGGCTTACACACATTATAATAACATAAATAATTTGTTTTGAGGGTTAAAAATTTGGGAAATGATACTTCAAATGTCAAAGAATCGAAAGCAAACATAAAAAAAAAATCGATTTTTCGGTCAAATTTGGTGTATATCTCCCCTTAAACTAAGTTGAACTGGATCTAATAAAATGTATTAAAAAACTTGTAATTATTGCATTAAAATAAAATTCCTGATCATTCAATGTGTTTCTTATTAATTTATTGCTGTTTTGTTATCTTAATTACAAATTTCATTGCAAAAAACGTCGTTTTTGGGATCGGCTCAAACGCAAAGTTGCGGCGACGTTTTTGAAACTTTACGGCCCTATAGCCAAATTCTGAATAATTTTTTCGATTTACAGTTGCGGCAACGATTTTGGAACAATGCGGATACAAATCGAGTTTCAGAATAAATTTCGAAGGTAAAGTTGCGGGAACGTTTCAGACTCCGTCTTACCTCGATACTTATACTTTAAATAACATTCTTGAAACGTGACCGCATCGTTAAAATCCTACTAGTCGGGACATTTTTTCTGTTCCAAAAACGTTGCTGAATTTAAATATTGAAACGTTTCTTAGTTCCACAATCGCGGTTGCCGCAACGTTGCGGCAACTTTACGTGTTATCTGGGAAGTATAAGTTCTATTTTCATTGGTCAACGTTTTCTGTTTCGAGTGTTTTTCGATTCGTGTTAGTTGACAATTGTGTGAACCTTATCGCCAAACGATGTTTGAAATATAAACTTACCGAGCCAAAACTTGCTTGTCTTATTATCTATGTGAATAGTAAGGTAAGGTAATAATTGTATACCATGTTTTCGACTTATTTTTCATAAATATCTTTATTTTCAAAACTTTTTTCTTTTATTTACATGAATACAGTTGCATTCAAACCTCACGGATCTGTACCGTATGGAAAACTTTTGAAAACAATACAACAATTTTTCGCCAGAATTAAAATTTGACAACTTATTCTTATCAAGCAAGCTTCATCTTGAGCGAATGCAAGATTTTCGAGGCCGGGCACTAGGAGCTCGAGTTTTCCACTTTCATGGGCGCATTCCGTTTATGGGAATGACCCAACGCATTCAAGGCACGATCCGTTCATAGGACGACCCTCCATTCATGAGCACAATTCGTTTATAGAACGGCTCGTCTTACATACACACAGACACACACACTCTTAGCCCCTAGTATCTTTACTCGAAATCATACACGCCCTCGACTAGCATCGCGATATTTTACTTTAATTCTCGATTATGTGGTACATTTTTCATCGTTTTTCATTCGGTTCATGCGTATCGTTAGGCACACTCCGCAAATGGAGCCTTTTTTATCTTTGTGACGGTTCTTTGTTACGACGCTTATAAAGCTATTTGCATAGCAGCCTGATTTTTCAATCATTATTGGAGAGTCTTTAATTGCTCTTTTGATTAAGGCCCCTAACTGTTTTAGGTTTATTGCACCATCTAGTATTGCTACTTCTTCGTTGACACATTCTTTCCTTTCCAATCGCGTATTTCGTTCACAGGCAAGCTTAGTAGCAACTACTTTGACTTTTTTCATTTCTTGATAAACGTTAATTCCCAATATAGTTGTAAAATTCATCATCTTCATCTTTGAATGGCTCGTTATTTATATTTTCCATGTCTAGAGCAAGCATTATTAAACCCCTCGATTCTTTACACAAATCTGATCGTTCGATCAAAATTTGCCGCAACGAAAACATGAGATTGTTCAATTCAGCTTGAGCTTGAATAGACAGACTCTTGCCGTTCATCGAAATTTGCCTGACCACTAATTTAAGGTCTTCAGAAGAAGAAGATTTTAAAATCATTTCCAAATAATTTATTAAGGGAGCAGCCAAATATTTAAAGTTTTTTTCGGCTACGATGTATCGTCGGCTGTATACTTCACCCATGAGCGAGGCTCCGTTTCTTAATAACCCTTTATCTGCAGTGCTATTCGATTCTTTTCTTGCTTGATATTCTTTTTGTAGAAATTGAAATAAAAGTAGTCTCAAACTGTTCCAGTTTCGATCGGTAATACTAATGATTTGTGGATCACACATCAATGATACTTTAATACCGAATGACTGACTCTCCAGTGCTTTTACGAGAAGTTCATTTACGATTACCGTTAAAAGAGATGATTCCATTGTTTTTTTGAGATTTGATAAAATACCGTTAACGGTTTGAAAATATTTTGTGTACACATTCTCCAGAGGAATGTGTTTGTTAGGTACTGAACTTGCCTTTCCTTGCACGGGCTTCTGCGCAAGCGCGTATCCGATGGAGATGCAGGTCGGTACGGGGGCGATCTTCTGCTTGGTTGCTGCTGTGGGTTCGATTCCCGATAAACGCGTTGAAACGCGAAGAAGTCGTCGATGTACTCCTGGTGTCGATGGCACAAGACGATGAAAATAATGACCTCAGAGAGGTGGGTCGACGTTGCCTCGACTCTCGCGAGGAGGGCTTACGTCGGGGGAGGTCACGCCAACAGAATATAACAGACTCGTTGATATTCGTTGTGCACGTGCTCCGCTCGTTCGAACGGCAAGTCGGAGCTTGCAAGGGAGGATCGAGGACCCGCGAGTCGTGAGACTCAAGTGGCGCGACTCTTTCCTTTAGGTGATCCGGCCCGACTCGCCCGGGTTGACACTCGAGCACGGGGTCGATCGCAAAAAGGGGAAGAGGGAATATCAGCGCTTGGTGTTGGAGCACCGCACCGAGATATTCTCGTTCGATGGACTATGTCCGTTAATTAGTTCTGAGACTAAAATCGCTAATCGTTCTCGAGATCAAGTCCACAAAGCTGCTCCGAGGTCGAGTCCTTCACGGATATTCTCCTATCAAAGTTCAAGTCCAGCGGAGGTCGCCTATATACCTATTTCGCAAGTCGATCAGCCAAGAGCTCTGGGGATGCTCAGGTGGTTGTTCAAGAATGAATGACGATGCGCCAAAAAGCTGCACTCCTTATATACTCGACGGGATATCGGCGGCGCGAGGAAGAAAAGGGAAGGGAGCCGCCGGTCGGGTGATCAAGCCGCCGGTTTTTGGTGGCTGGAAGGCAAGGGAGGGAGCGCCAATGATTGTTTGGTAGGCGGAGTTGTGCCGAGTTCGGAGAAATGTTGTTTTGGTGGCGGCGCCCTTCATCGTGAGTTCGGAAAAGTTGCTTGTCTCGGTGCGCATTTGGCGGCGGCGCCCTTCATCGCAAGTTCGGGGAAATTTCCTGTCTCGGTACGCATTTGGTGGCGGCGCCTTTCATCGCAAGTTCGGGGAAATTTCCTATCTCGGTACGCATTTGGCGGCGGTGCCTTTCATCGCAAGTTCGGGGAATTTGCCTGCATTTGGCGGCGGCGAGTTCGGAAGAATTGCGGCGGTGTCCTTTATCTCGCGTTCAGAAAATTGCCTGTTTGGCGGTGCCGTTTTATCTCGAGGGGCTTTTTGATTTCGATATGCGGTTGTCTACTTTTCTATTTTATCGATCTCCGGTCTTTCCTCCGGTTGGTAAGGTAGGTTGTGTGTGCGCGTGTGTGTGCGTGTGTGTGTGTGTGTGTTTCGGGTTCTGCGCACGCGTTGTGCTGACTGGGCGGTCAGTACATTACATGTTCAATGTAGGTGATTAGTTTTTCATGGGTTAAATTCCCATAAGTTGTTAAGTGGCATTTTGTACTACTTCATTTCTAATCTCTCACTAACTATTCCCGATTTTAAGCTGTGGTTGCGAATTTTTCCATTTTCAAAACTAATTTTACTGGATAGCTTGACTCAAAAAAACGGAAGCAATGCGTATGAAGCTGATGTCAACGAACACCGTAATATTTTTCGCTAAAAATGAAAAGTTTTTTTTTAATAGCATATTTAACTATTCGAGTGCCAATCACAAGTGCCATTTGCCAAAAAATTTTCTTAATTTTTCAGAATTACGAGTGCTCTTGGCTGATCAAGTGAACATTCCAGGAAAACGCCCTAGTCGATGGAAAGGTTATTTTTTTTAAAAGTGTATTTTAAAATTGTTTCATTAAAATTTGATAATCACCTTTGCAACTTGAATTGCGGCCGCCATTTCTGGCTGCATCAGGGCGTCACATGACATTTGACAACGACACACGCGCAGGCGCTCGTTCAAGAGATCATTCATTCATCAATAGTCATCACTCATCAGTATTGATAACAGTTTATAGTTGAGTCAGCTGTCATTCTCAAAATACTTTTGATGTTAACAATAAATCAACTTTATATCTCACCAAAGTAACATTAAAAGAAATCAAAATAATCAAAAAGTGAATTTGATTTCTCAGTAATGCCTAAATGATAGACAGGTTATTATTTCAATTGTTAGAAAACATGTATCAAAAAAATCACTACACTGCAACTCATATATTAACATTTTAATGAAAATTATAATAGATAAATTATATTTTTGCTTTTGCAGTCACACAACAAACAACATGTATTCACAAAATGATTATGCTGAATTAATATCATTAGCTGAACTAGCTGGAATAAATTCCTCACCTGGAGTTTTTAAGTAAAAAAAAAATATTTTTATTAAGTTTATTCACCAAAACATTTATTTTATTTTGGAAAATTTGTTTTAGAGTGATGATTGAATTACTGTCATTGAAAGTGTCTCCAGAAGATATTTATGTACTCTTAAGGCAAATATCACCTTTACCCTCGCAAAGAAAAAGGAGTTCAAGTATTTCTAATCTAAAACCAAATGATTGATAAAATATGATTTTATTCCAATATAAATACAAGTCTGTAATATAATAACTTAATCATTTAATTATTCTAGTTTTAACTGTCATAAATTAGCTACTTCTTTCACATGCTAAATTGGCAAGTTGATCAGCCATTTCATTCCCATGAATACCACAATGTCCTCGCACATGATTCTGCAAAAAGTTTTATATCATTTGTTTATGTGAAAAATTCATTTTTTCTGTAATAATAATAAATACATACAAATTTAACATCTAATTTGGCACAAGCTTCATCCATTTCAATAAGTTCAGTCTTATTTTTTGGAGTTTCATTTTTTGAAGTAACCCATCCATTTTTTTTCCAATTTGGCATCCATTTTGTAATACAATCTATTAAAAATTGAGAATCTGTGTTTACTCTCAATTTTTTTATACCTGCTTTTTCAGCCTGTTTTGCTGCCATTGTTACAGCTTTAATTTCAGCTCTATTATTTGTTGCCTTACCATCAAGTGCTTGAACTACATTTCTGCATGTATAAAATATTTGTTAAATGATTAGCAAAATAAATAATAGCATGTGAAAACTTACAGTGGGTGATTATCACCAAACCAAACTCCGAAACCAGCTTTTGCATTTCCTCTCCCATTGAATTTACAAGCTCCATCTGTATAAACTTCAATATAGCCATTTTCATCCTCTAAAAATCCATCCACATTCTAGAAAGTCAATTATATATGTTAAGATTTAATTTTGGTTAGAAATTTAATGATAATTTTTCTCATAATTACCTTGTTTTGTTTTGGTGGATCAATGATTTTTATTCTTTTCGAAGAGACATTTATTTTTTCTTCAGGACTAATTTTAGAGAAATCTCTTTTCAGTGAAGGAATATTTTGGCAATATTTTAATACTTTTTTTGATGACGAGCTACCTTGTTGGGTGTCATTTTTTGGTTTCTCTGAATTTAGATTTATAAAGTTTTCTGCTTCTTTTGCAGTGGAAAATTTTTTATACCTCGCACCAGAGAATTTCTTAATTTGAACTTCACAGTCACTCCTACAAAAAGAAAAAAAGTTTTAAATTGATTATAATAAAGGTTTATATTGAATAATTTACCAATTGTAATAAATTCCTGGATTTCTGCCTTTTGCCACAGCATAAAAGCTCATGATGGAGTTAGAAATGATATTCAATTCAACCGGGCACTTAAGTAAGTTTAATTGCTTGTGCAACTGAGAACTATATAATTTATACATATAAAAATTTATTTTAAAAAATTGACACTTGAAAGTATAACATGCAATAAAGAAATTATTTATCTCCCGACAATTTACCTTTGCGTGAATCGTTAAATCATACATAGAATAAAAATAACAGTTAGTTTTTAAATTTTTTAAGCTGGGACAGTTGAACTATTGGCGAAGTCATTAGATAGCAATACTAAAAGTTGGAACTTGTTTCGTCTCGTCTTATCTCAGGATTGTAGGTTGTGGTAAACTTTGATTTGCTAAGCGAAATAACAACTGCCCTGCATTACCTTAAGAATCGAAAATGAATCGTTTTGTTTTTACAACAATCGATCTTTTTAAACGGAAAGATACGTAACTTCGAATCATGAAAAAAACGTTCAAACAAAATTACAGTATTAAATGTATAGAAAAATTTTAAGAAAATCAGTCAAAGAAAATTGTGTCAAACGTTATTTAATATTTCAAAATTTCAAGTGCCAAATGGATACGAATTGAAAGCTAAATGTGTTATGTATATACTTTTACGACATGAGGAGTAAAAAGTTGTCTGCTAGGTGCTGGTGGCATTTGAACACATTGACAAGTTGTGTTACAATACGGAACTAATACTTGCATAGAAACTCGCAAGCACAACTTACCACGACATATTGCAACATTGTTCTTACATCAATTTTAACTATATATATTTAGAGATAGTTCAGAGAAATTTTATTGCAAATTCACAGAATAATGATTACAAAAATCAAATATTAGTTTAAATGAAGTTATGAGAAGATTGAAAAATCTGAAAGCATGATTTCAATACTTTTCATGCTAAGGGCTAATTAAATCTGAGTATAATATGGGAAGTTGACACTAAATTTAACAAAATATTGCAATTGAAATCAATTTTCTAACACTAATACAAAAAAATTCACTTAGATGCTTTCAACTTTTTAAAATTGAAGTTATTGTTGACAATTGAAAATCTAGTATTTACGATGGATTTAAAATTTGAGCTGTAGCTACATACGTGTGACAGGCGTTGTATTAATCCATGCATCACACCAATTCTTTCAGAGTTCCACCAATTCTATTTAAACGGCATCATTTTTTATGAAAAATTTTTTTATAAAATGAATTTGACATCACACTTCATTGAGTTATTAATTACAATTCTGAAAACATTGTCATTTAAATTTACCAGTACTTCAAATTTTATCACGCAGAGATGAAATTTATTATGAAATAATTGTGTAATTATACAATTTATAGTACAAAAAAATTAAATCAATATTAAATAACATTTGAAACTTTCATGTAATCATTTTCCATGATATTTTATTAATATAATGATCTTGATCTATATACAGGAAAGCAAATAAGTAGCACTAACTCCTCGCTTCACAAATCATCCACATTGTGGTAACAACTGTTATGAGATTATCTTAAGTATTTAAACTTTACTGAGTTTTTACTTAAAATTATAAACGTGTTTATTATTCATAAATATCTTCTTTATCTGCAACATAACGAGCTATTGCAGCAGGTGTTACTAGCCTTTCTGCATCCATATCTGGAATCTCAAATCCAAACTCATCTTCCATTGCCATTATCACTTCAACGTGATCAAGAGAATCTAAGCCTAGATCATTCATGAAGTGAGAGTCCAGTGTGAGCTGAAAAAAAAAAGATAATATCAAAACTTCAGAATGAGATATGAAGTGATATACTAATACAGCAATGTACTCAGAATTAAACATTCTTGTGGGTAATCAAATATAATTAAAAATCAAATTTTTTTACAGAATAAAATGTACATTGTTGCAACTAGTAGGTACCACAATTCAAGCTGGGTGTTAACCATTATTACTACAGTAGTAAAAATATTCAAAAGACGCTAAATAAAGGTAAAAAAAATACCTTTTCAGCATCTATTTTGTCATAAAGTTTTAGAACCAAAAGTACGCGGTCAGTAATAAATTTAACTGTGAGCGGTGGTTTTTCACTGTAGTGGCGTACCCGCTTGACTTGCTGGTCCGTATTATTCTGAAAGCAAATAAATAAAAATTATATAAACCTTGTCAGCTGTAACTTTGTCGTATGCGGCGACGACTTTCAAAACGCGGTCTTGAACTTCCTTCAGTGTAGGTTTCTCTTCTATTGTGTGGCTATAGCTGCGGACACTCTGGCCATTGACCTGCATTTATCAAAATGATTTTAGGCAAAATAGGGCTTGTCTTTGAATATTGTACTCGATAAATGACAGAGTAAAACGTGATTCGGTCGTATGGTGCTCGACTAAAATGAGCTTGAGATACAGCTAGAGCCGCGATCATGTATTCATCTCGAATCGAAAATCAAAATAACAATAACATCCTCAACTCGACAACTCTGAAGTTGTGTTTTCAACTAATTTTTGAATTCTTTTCTTTCATAATATCGCGTCAATTCGAAGCAGAGATGCTACTTTCAAGTTACATAATGTCCGCAAGATTAAGAAAATAGCCCGGCAGTGAGATAGCGGCGTGGTGGTCGTAGCTGCTAGAGCCATTGTGCGGATCAATCTTACCTGAGTCAAAGCGGGCAACGATGTTCGCTTGATTGTATGTAAAAATCTTTGGTTGAACTCGCTGACATTTGCGAGACGAGCTGAGGCAAGACAACAGCTAGAGTTCCTGAAAAATCCTGTACTCCGCGATAACAAACGGATCGTTCTGATTGACGACGCCATTTTCACACGATGCTCTTGTGCCAAGCAGCAGTCAACTCGCGCGAGCTAGCCTAACGAACACGAGAGAAGAACACACACACCGAGAAACGGCTTGGACTATTTGTCGTGCACGTAGTACACTGAACGAGCAGTAGGAAAAATGCCATGCACGATCGTAAGCACTATCTAGTGGCGGTGCTCGTCAATTCCCAGCCACGAACTACTTCGCGCTACCTAGTCCGCTCGCTAAAATTATGCGATTTTGGAAAGATGATTGCCTTCGCTGGGAGTATGACTCATTATAAAATTGAGAAGACCCGGGAGGCATTTTTCCCCTTTTCAATGGTTTATTTTAAAATCCTCGACACTTATATTTCAAAGCAAATTCCATAGTTCAAAAAAAAAAATCCTTTGAGCGCATTTTAATGTGATGATTTACTATACATTAACTGACTCATATTTTTAAACTCGATCGTAGTCCATAGACGTAAAAATTTTATTTAAAAATTGACATTTATTAAAAATTCAATTGATGTAATGACACTGTTTGATAGCAGACAATAATATGAAAATTATTTATATATAACAAAAACATTTTATATAATAAATTATTAAAATACTTCTTTTTATTAAAATGTAATATTTTACAAAATACATCATAATCTGTCATAAATTGTACATTTATCAATTTGATACAATTTTCAATTTGTATTCATAATAAACATCAAAGGAACATTCAACAATGTTTAAAAGATGAATTACTTATAGTCTACTATAGGTCTTAATAATTTTATACAAATGTGATTAGCTTTTGAACTTAGCATAAACTTCTGACATTTCAGGTCGGTCATCAGCTGATTTATTAGTGCACCATTTGCCAAGTATAATTAAATAGTGAGCAATACCTCTTAGTTTATCTCCTGCTCTATGATCATGAATAAGTTCTAATCGTTTTATAGTAAAACTATCAATATATTCTTTTAAAAGTTTATTAGAAGGTCTGGAACCGTCATAAGCTGCTAATCCTGTTGCTAGTTCAAATAGGACAATACCAAAACTATATGTGTCAATTTTAGTAGACAAATTTTTCCTAATAATATAATCATCCGGCAAATAAGGCCTGGTTCCTTGTACTTTACTGACTTTGAATGAATCATCAGATGAACCTTCTCTTGCCAAACCAAAGTCGCCAATTTTTGGTTCCATGTTTTTATCTAACAATATATTAGCACTTTTAATATCTCCATGTATTAGAGGATTAGAATGCAATGTATGGAGGTATTGCAATCCGCGAGCTACTCCTTTAGCTATTTCTCGTCTTTGTATCCAAGTTAGAGGTGTGCTATCATTTTTTCTTCGAAGTCTGTCTTCTAAAGAGCCATTTTGCATCAATTGATAAACTAAGCAAGGAGAAAAGCCATCCAAACTGTATGCATAGAGTGGTAAAATATTTTCATGGGGAGAAGAATTTAAAATTTTTATTTCTCTAAAAGATTGTTCTAATTGTAAAGCATATTTATCTGCAAGATCTGCTCCCTTTGGCTCTATTTTTTTTATAGCTACTTCAGTATTTTTCCATATTCCTTAAAAAAAAATATTTCATCAGTTCAAATATATAATAAAATGTTCAATAAAGTAAAAAGTGAAAAGAAAAATTTTGGTATAAAATAACTTTGAATGGTTTACCTTTGAAAACTACACCAAATCCTCCACTACCTAATAAATTTCCTCGGTTCCAATTTTGTGTAGCTTTAGCTAGTTCTTCATAAGGAATTCGAGGAAGATGTGTGTCTAAATTCCCTTTCATTGAATTTAAAATACTTTCATTGGTATTTTTTTTAGGTATATTCAAAATTTTGTCTTCTTCATTTGATTTTTTCAAATTTGGAGTCTCTTTAGAAGTTTCTTGAGGTGTACAATAAGGAGTTTCTTTAGGTGTACAATGAGGAGTTTCTTTAGGTTTACAAGGAGGAGTCTCTTTAGAAACCAAATCATTAATATTCTTATTCTTATTTTGTTCATTATCATTTACCTCATCAGAAAAGTCAATAAGTTTTTTGATTATATTATTATTTTGTTTCAAATTTTCTAGAACTTTTCCATTGAAAAAAGCAGATAAATTGGATTCTCCAATTAATATTAATGGATGGTATTTAGAATCAACAAATTTTTTCAACGGTCTCATTGCTTCATAATTATGAACTTTTGATAAAAGCACAAATAATTCCAAAATTGTGTGATTAAGATGACCCCAAGCAGTGAGCAATTCATCGGCAGGATTTGATTCTCTTTTCAATTGTTCAATTTCAGTATGTGTAAATTGCATACAATTACCTAAAAGTGAATCATGTTATAAAATTTGATGAAAAAAGAAATATTTAAAAATGTACTTATGAAATAATGGTTAAAGTTTGCTTACCAGCAAGTTCTTCCCACTTATTATTTTGGTTTAGAAATCTGCATACTTCTAATCTTTCTGAGTATGGTAACTCATAGATAAATTCAACTTTTACTTTGTCACTCATTGTTTGTTAATTAAAAAGATTTTTGAAAAATGAGGAAAATTTCTAATTAAAATTTTTAATTTAGGTTAAACCCATTGAATTGATCACCAATAAATTCAAGAGTAATTCTGAATTTTACTTAGGTGCAATGACACAAGCGTTCTTTGAATTACATAAATAGTATATCATACTTTTGACGTTCTGAAATTCCACTCTTTTAAATTATTTTCAAATAATTGAGCTGGAATTTATGCACACGTTTATAAATGTATCTGCCAAAATTATCAGTCAGTGGAGCTTACAATTCTAAAAACTGTGAAGTTATTTATAACTTCTAATTGTATTTTCACCATCAGTGATACTAGCTTGAGGCTTTGATAAACAAACAATTCTTCTGTGTGTACAAAAGAACCGTATTGACTGCAATTGCAACGCGCACTACTTTATGTACAAAAATATAGCTTAGTTGAGATTATAATTAATAGATTATAATAATTGTTATTCTTTCTGCGAGATGCGTGACGCGTATGCTAAACATTATATACCTTACAGAATAAATTAGCAGAGGTCGCTATGGATTGCATCGGTCTACAGTCTACATCGCTATCGACAAAGTTTTAGCGCTGAATTTAAAAAATGAAAATTCATCGAGCAACGTTTTGAATTTTTCAAATTTTTTCATTGTATATCAATTGGAGAATTATTTTTGAGTTTAATTTAATGTATTCTGTTAACAAATTCGTGTAGAATAATTATGATTTTTTTACAAATAATTACCGGAAACGAGAATTCAAAGACAGTGTCTGGATTCTTAAATGTTTATGATTCTTAAAAAATAAGCTAAGTTGATAAGTCAAGAGACTGGAAGGTAAAGCTTTATCTAACTTGTTCAACATATAAGTGACGTAGAGCTAATGTGAAGTTCCGCAATCTACATCTTCACATTAAAGTTCCAATCTTCGTTATTACAGAACATATTCTAGGGCAGCTACAATCATAAGTATAGGGGGTGTTTTATGCTGATTCACATTTAGGTTCTTTTTACTATCAAATGAGAATCTTTATCACAAAAATTGATGTTTATCAATGTTAAGCATATATAGTTTGAATTAATGTATGAGATGAATATGAGATGAATATCATCCTATTAGTTTTTGTCCATGAAAATAAATTTTGATGTGTAACGTCTTATGGCTCGTTGGGTAGGCTAGTGAATCCGTGAAAAACGAGCGAGCGAGCGAGCGCGATAATCGTAGGTTTTTAGTCTCAGTAGCGTCTGTTTGCTTCTCGCGCTGTGATTGGTCTACGCTAGGCAGTGTCGAGTGACTGCTAGCTCGCTTCTGCTGCGACACGCACAGCACAGGCGAGCAGTACTCGGCAGTCAGCACTCATGTCTATGAAACGTACAATGTAGCGTTGTGTATCTCTGTATCTGCGTCTCTGTCTCTCGCTCGCGCGTTGCGTTTTCATGCGTGTGGATCGGTCAAATAATAACTCGAGTTGTTTTATTGTATAGCTTCGCGTACATGTCTACAATCGTAAATCATAAATCGCAGTGTTCTGGTACACTAATTTTTTTTTTATGACAGTGTCAATGAAATGTTGACTTTACAGTTACGCATAGCATTGTTGAAATATAAACCAAACCAAAGAATATTTATGCATTCACAGGTTTATCCCCGAAAGTGGTGTCACGCGAGCTCGCCGAGTCCAGGTAACGCTGACTCTGCTCGTCCCCGCGACTGTAAGCGTTTACGCGCTTGCAGGTCACCAGAGTCATTACGTATAGGCCCACGACGATAGCTCTTCTAGCGCATAACGTGGCTGCCTCAAGCCGCGCATCATTTCATCCAGGGTCGCGACGAGTCTTGTACATACTCTTACCTTTTTAGATCTCCTGCAATTAACTGACAGTCAATTCTTGTATTGTTATTTAATTTTTCCTTTTTCCCCTCATGTCACGGTTTACCCACGCATCAGTAGATAAACTATTATTTTGATTATTGATAAAAAAATGCGTGGTTCGTTATTTGAAAAAACTTAAAAAAAAAAAAGTTCTAATTCAGTTGCAAAATGAATTGAACAAATGAACAAACGTAAAGAAAGAATTCTCGGCAAAGTCTAAGTACTAAAGTGGATAGAAAACTTTTTCTAGAAACTTTTCCTTTATTTTCTACTCCCTTTATCTTATATTTATGTCTACGAAAATCTTTCCATTGTAGATGGATTTTATTGACAAAAGATAGGCAGGGAATTTCAGCTTGAAACTCGATTCAATAAATCTTAAAAACAATTATCCGTTCATTATGTTTGTTTTTGTCAAGTCAACGTGAATACATTTTTACACAAAGCTAAATTCATATGATTTTTTTCCAGTATTATCATTCATTGCTCAAATTGAATCTTCATAAAACGAATTTCATGAGTTCGAATAAAATTCGGGTTTGCAACTAGAGAGAGAGAGAGAGAGCGAAAATATATTATATGACTAAAAAGGATGGGAAATCTTTCGGGTCGCCTATTGTCGGGAGTTAAGCCGATTCTGAAGAGTCTGGCTGAACGCAGGCACCGAAGAAACCAATTTAAGGTCTTCAAGTATAAAGGTTACGTGAACGCGATTTTTATTGAACGTTCTGATTTTAACTAACAACGTATAAAATATTTTCTCAGCCACTTAAAAAAAAGTAAGCATATTAAATTATGTAAATAATAATTTGAAATGTATTTAATTTAATATTCTAGAAAAATAACATCCTTGCTTGAACTACATATTTCTTTTTTAACATATTTTTCATATTTGTGATTATGTTAATAATTAATATTTTACTTGTTATTATGCAATAAGTGTCAAAAAGGAGCTGTGTGCGGAAAAAGGACACTCATGCCAGTTACACCAGCACGATTGGGTTGTTTTTTGCACACTGTGTGCAAAAAGCTGGATCCGTATTGCATACAAAATTTTAAGCAATAGTAAGCGAAAAATACATTCAAAAAAGTATAATATTACTTACGAAAACGAGGCATTTTACCGCATACTAGTGGCCAAAAACGCTTTTTTCGTTATACTATTGCATAAAAGATTTTAAAAAAATTCTGAACGCAATTCTTTCAATTTTTTTTCATTACGTTATAAAAAAAGTTTACCATAAGGCTTCCAAATTAAAACGTTTAAATAAACAGATAAAAGCATGACCCATAAAAATCTATAAAATGATATTATGAATTTCATAGAGCAAACGAATCCACGGCACGCTTCTATCGATTGTCATCTCTTATACACTTGAGCTTCAAGTGTCTCGCTATGTTTACTCAGCTTCTCATCCTTATTTTTTTTTCTTTTGTCTCTCTATCTTGTTCACTGTGAATTCGAACGCGCTATTAGATTGAACTCCCGAAAGTTAGTTTTTTTTTATTCATAGTAATGATCTAAAAGGTACTCATAAGGGGCGTTTTTTTATTTACTTAATTTCTGTGGTCTCTGATTAATATTTTTCACTTTTACTCCCGTGATACTTTTTCGCGTCGTTACAAAATGAATTTCTTTACTTTTGCTGGCCTTAGAGCTTTTTCATAAGTATTATTTTAGTTTTCATCTCACCCTCTTTTCTCGATTTTGTCATCTAAAGTAGTATAGAGTTCTTTTCAAAATAGCTCGAGTAAATTCCAAAGGAAAAGCAATATTTATTTAGTAAATATGTGTTTTAGAAATGAAAAAGTATTATAATATTTATTTGATTCATCAAACACTTCAATTATTATTGTTAGTAGAGATACTTTTTGCGCTAATGCAAGCTTTGGAAAATTTAAAATAATCTATGCTGGTTTTTAAAAAGCAGGAAAATACAAATAATCTGTTAAGTTATATGTACCCAAAAATAAAATCTCAAATATTTACTGTAACAAACTTTATTCGTATTAACAAATAATTAGTATTGGTTGAGAAAAACTCGCCTTGTTTTTTTCGATACGTCCATTAATTTGATACTTTGACTAAAGAGAGGAAAGCTCTTTAGAGTTTCTGTCTCTGATATGAATAAATGCACTTACAAAATACTTCAAAACATTTATAAAGCAGAAGAGATATATATTTAGTGCGCATTCTGTTATCAGACCTTTAGGACTGTACCCTTCGACGAGAGCAAAGAGATGAAAAGGCTGCAGCAGTTGTGGGTGTACTTGAATCTCCTTTTTTCTCCTGTTTTTCTTAGACTGTATGTGGAAGCATAAAAAATGAGCAAAAAGTCATCCTCCGGAACGCGTCTAATGATCCTTATACGTAGCCTACGGCAAATATTTTTCCGATATGGGCATATTTTACTGAACGTTATACTTTCGAAATAACTCGTGTTGTATCAACTATTGACGATTTGATGCTAAATATTTGTGTTAATTTTTTTTAACAATTGTTAGATTGAGAAAAATGAAAATGGTACTTTGTACTTTTAGACGAGTTTTAAACGTGAGGTTTCAATAGAAAATAAATGATAAGATAGAACGAATAAAAACAAGTACTTGGATTCGACTTGCTTGAGAGAATATCTTTACGCAGTGAAAGATTTATTAATTAAAAATTAATCAGTTAACGATTATTGTAATTAACATTTAACACCTTCAAAATTATTTAAATATCTTATAAATGAAGTAAAATTTTATTGAATAAAGATTCCACTTATCATAATATTATTATTATTGTGCTGGTTTACAGTGTAAACTCACACATGCAAATTACAAGCATTAAGATTCATTCAAGGAATAACAGATCTTACATGTTACACTACCCATAGAATAATAATCAGTACTCCAAGTTATTAATAAAGGTCCACTTGAGAAAGTAATACCATTTAAGGGAAAGCTCTTTTCTTTGAGAGAAAATCGTACTGATTCGTGAACACATATATATAAGTCAATAAACTTAAAAATGAGATCAAATTTCATGCTCGTTACTCAGCTGCAGTAAAACATTGAACACGACGGCAGCAGCATTTTTACTTGACAAGCTGTCTATCATCAACCTAAGTTCGATGAAAATATATTTATCTTTTTCGCCAAACTTTTACAAATTTGACAATTAGGAACGATGTTTCATAAAATAAGTAAAAAGAATTGAAGCGTTGGAGAAAATTAATTGTTTCACAATGAATAAATCAATCGACTCTTTACGTATCTGTTAGAGTTTTGATTTGAAAAATATATTATCGTAAGTAGTTTGATTCAGCAAAAAAATACTTACCTAAAAGTAATTTAATGGTAAATGTAGAAAAATTTTTTATGTAATACATTTAAAAGTAATAAAAACACCTTATTATTTACAATATAACATTATGTTTATTATCTTTATTTTGTTAACCACATTTGGTTTTATTTTTTATGCAAACCAATGTATAATGATACAATTGAATTTGTCTATACATTTTTCCTAAGTTTGTCTCTAATTAGATGTATATTATATACAAAAGCGCATCGCAGGGTTATTCGTTCGTCAACTATCTATACACTATAATATCAACAACATTTTCACTCGATAATATCCTACACATACATCAAACTTTGTTTTTTTTGCGTCATTACATCATTAATATGCTGCTCGATTCTTCAATTCTCGCGCAATAATAGTATGTATTTATATTTTTCGCACTCATACCAAAAAACGTAACTTCGCTGATAGTCATATAGGTTCTCGTCAGAAAAATAATATGCTCGCTAAGATACGAAAAAAGTTTTCAGCAGATATATTTTACAAAATTTGTCAAAAACGAATAATGGTTTACATCGTTTCAATCTAGAAGCACCTCCACACCTTTTTTATAATTAACTAACATTATATAATACTAACAATTTGTAGTACTTTAAACGAATACGCTAATTGATGAATGAGTTTAACAATTAAAAATTATGTCACACTTTCACAATTTTTTCGAATTATGAGACTCGTTCATTCTTCTTAGTAAAAAGTATAAGAAGTGCAAACAAGAGTTCTCGGCATATTTGTATAAAATAATTGACCTGAAAGTCTATCGTATCGACCAAAAGATCATTCGCTTGTAAGCTTTGAGTTTATTACGTATGATTTAGTTTTATTATACAGTGATAACCTTTTCGGCCTGTGAACTTCACAAAAATTTGATTTTGATCAATTTTTTATACATATAAATAATATGTTTTTAAAGTACTTTTATACAAAGAAAAGAGTTTAAAAAATCACTTGTATACATAGTTTTTTCATATCATCTAACAGACACAATAAGTCAAACTAAGGAAAATATTTTAATGTACTGCAGCACCTTAGTATTTGCAAAGTCATTCATACTAGTTCATGATTTACTCATCGTGTACCATAATGTTATGTTAATTCAGTAAAAATGCAGTAAGTGCAATAATATGATGTTTTTAATATTTTCCGAATGAAAAAAATACGAGTTTTTTACCAAATCGATATTTTTAAAATTTTCAACTATTTTAATTTTTAAATATAACTTCCCAAAATTTTAATTTCAGCAAATTAACGGATGCTAAGAGTTGAAACCCAATTTCACGAAATTCATCTCTAAATATTACAAAAAATAACCATGCTGACTTTGACACTTGCTATGAAATAGAAAAGAAACTGTTTTCGACATTTAATCTTAGAATGATGTAATAAAAAAATGTTTTATCAAGTAGTACAACATTTTAAAAAATTCTTTGAAAGTGGTAACTTTTACCGTCCAAAATAGATAATGGCATTTTTGACCAATCATTTTTTATTATATAATAAGAACTATTAAAAATTAAAAAAGTAAAATTAATGTTTCTATTTTTAAAAAGTAATTAGAAAATTATTTATTTATAACAAACGAATATCTATCGTTTCGATTATTGTAGTTTATTGATTTTTTTGCTGTTCGAAATTTATTGAATTTTTTCAGAAACTAAATTAAATTTTTTCCGTTATCTGGAAAAACTCGAAAAATCATAAACAAGAGATTTTTAGTGCAAAACGATGATTATGGCAGAGTAGATAATTTCATCATTGTGAAGTCTAATGAATCATTCTCTCTTCTTATAGTTTCATTGCTGACTTAGCACTTTTTTGTATTTTCAAGGAACCGTAATAGAAAATATAACTTTTCCCTTTTTCTTAAAATTCTGATTTTAAATATCATATGTCTCATACAGAATTATTTGATTTGAAGCGCAGTATACTCTTTCGAATGTTTTTTTTTCACGAGAGTCACACCGTATTATTTTTATGCATTTATACAACCATGAAGTATATGAGTAATACTTATAACTGAGACTAGTTTATTTATTAGCTGGTCAAAGTTTTATTGACTTTTATAGATCCAATAATTCAGATAACATGGTTGCGTGACAACGTCGTTTCATCTCGCCACGTATTGGCTGAAAAATAAATAAAATTTACTATAATACTGTCAAACTTTTATTAATCAAGTAAATTTTAAGTCCAATTAAAAATAACTTTCATAGAATGGTTTAAAAAAAAAAAATCAATACCTTTATATCTCATATCGTTGGCCATCGTTGGGCACTTGGCATCGGCAGATCGCTGTAATCAATTACAAAAGTTTTGAATGTGAAAATTTTCTTTTGAAAACAAGATATCAGCTGAGTACCTTGCGGAAATCAATATTTGTCCTTATAGTTCTGTGATGCAGTTGTTGAAGTGGTCGCGAATTATTTCCAAGAGGTGCTTTGGGTGTACTGTCGGGTCCTTGCATCAACCTCCTCAACGCATAAAGCTGCAATAATTTTATTATTACCATAAAATCGCGTGTCGATTTCTTCAAATCGAACAAAAAACATTGCACTCGTTAAAATGGCAATTACCTCTTGTGCAGTTATATATATGGGTTTGTTAAGGATAATCCATACGGCTGTTTCCCAACAGCCTGGGTGCGTTGTACTACCTTCGTAGGTCATATAACCATTGGTGTCTGGCAATAGAGCTTTCAAAGATAGATGCCGCACGGGTGCCTTGTCACCTATCAATAACAAAGTACAATTTCTTTGATGATTATGTTTGAAAAATGATCGAGTTAATAGGAAATGTGATTAAAAAGTAATTATAGTCTATACGCTTTGGCATAATGCTTTGAAAATGTCTATGCTCTCGACACAATAAATGACAAACTCATTATTTAAAAATTATTTATGGTACATACATTCTAAATAATTAAAAGTAAAGTGTAATTACAAAATAGGATTTTTTCTAAAAAGTGCATAGATTTAATTAATAACTGTACTTTGTAAACGCAAAATTACTATTTGTATAATACTGTATTATATTATGTAGGGATTCTCGTCAGTATTTTAAATAATAACCATAATAATTTTTACTTGTTTGTAAAAAAAAATGTACCTCGAAACTGCACCCTATTGAAAACACTCGTTATAATTCTCAGTTCAGGATTCGGTGTATCGCCCAGCTGAAACAAAAAACGTGAAAAATTCATTAATATTGCACTTTCATTAATATTGCTTAGAGCTTATCTTTGAAGTAGCCGCAGTTAGGGGTGTGCAAGTAACCGATTTTTCGAGTTTTACTCGAGCTTGACGAGTACCCGAGCATTTTCGAGTATTAGAGTTTTTTCGAGTACTCGCTACGTTTTTGAATTTCGGCTACGTAAATGATGACACTTGCTGTTACACCTCTCTGTACTGCCTCAGAGCAGTCGTCGAGGTGGGCATCGGCATGTCTTACGTTTTGACGAATGTACGCGGCCAAACGTCGGTACGCGATGCAATTATGAGAACGAATTTGGTAACATCGCGCATCACGGCACCAGCTTTATCGATGCGACCCGAGTATCGTTCACCCTCTTCAGAAGAAATTACGCGAAAGTCGCCGTTCTCATGCAGGTAGACATTTATCTTTCCATGCCGAGGGGTAAAAGTCAATAGAACTCGACAATTATTAATCGGGAAAATTCTTTTTCATTCAAATATCGTGAGAAAGTTGTGCTTTTTTTTATTGAGTTGATGATCGTAGGCTTGTCGGTTTTATTGTTTTGTGGATTACTGTTGATGAAATCGGTCAAATTAGAAGAAAAAATTGGCCTCATGAGCTGTCTATCAGATTGCATCTACTTTGTGGTCGATTCAATACTTCTTTTATCAATGATAGCTATTGACACAATCTTTGTGTGCGTGCTCGAAGATTACAAAACAAACGGCGGCAGAGCGAGACCTTACCACATGTCCAATAAGTTAAAAAATTTAGTTCTCGAGAATAGATTGAAGTAAAATTTTCATCAGGCCGTAAAAATCTGCGTCACCTCGAAGGCAGGAAGTAATTTTCCGGAAAGAATTACTTGATTCAGAAAACTTCTACTCATAAATTTGTAACCTATAGTATCCGCTCATCTTTCTATAACCTTCTTACACTTTAATTAATTGTAAAATTGTTAATTGTAAAATCATAAGCATGATTTAGTCATATTCATTAGGTTTTGGGATCAAAACTTTTATAAAGAATTTGAACTAGAACATTCTGTAAAACCAGCGTACAATTTTACTCGATCATTAAGTAAAATTTGATCCAGGTTATTTTTTCACATCTAATTAATTTATCGGTGAGCAATGAAATCCTGCTCAAGTGAAAATTACTTTTACTTCATGAAATTTGACTAACTAATATACGTGCATGTAAATAAATGAAAAGTAATGGGCGTACACTAAATCATTATTTTGCTTTTGACTCGATGATGACAACAAAAAGACTTGATAAAGTAAAGAGCATGAATATTATCGTAGAGATATATGATCGCCGAGATATGATCGTTAATGTAGGAGGAGAGCCTCGCAGTTCTCACATTGGAGGACGAGTAATTTAAACAGATTACACCTTGGAGACATTGAAAACGTATAGAAGGAGAAATACTGGCTACAGCCGGTAGGTGCAGCTTTAGAATTTAGCTCAGCACAAACGAGCCTTATATGAGCGAGTACATCCCTGGACAGTTTTCAATGCAACCTACATTACGATACCACCGTACCCACCCCCTTAAAAATAAACACGAGTGAAAGTTTCAACTGTATGCTTAAGTTGACGTTGGCAAATGAAAATCTGTGAGCTTAGAATGATATTTCAAACTAAAAATATGAGTAATTGTCCCTATCAATCACTCTTCTGATTCTTTAATTCTTATTTTCGCATCTAAAAGTAATACTAGAACAGCTCCAGGATATAATATTCGATATATCATTTGAAACTAGATTCTGTTACATCGTGCGATGTAACTTTCCACCAGCTGACTCTGCTTAATACTTCAATTCAGAAAAAGCTTATGATTAGTCAGAAACGCGAATTTGGTGACACGCTCACAGCTAGGTAAACAATATTGGCTGAGCCGGACTATATCGGAAAGTTTCAAGCAACGGTGTTAGCTGAACCATCACGAGAACACGAAACTCCTTAGCAATGGAACTATATAAAAAATTACCATAATTTTAGTTTTCGCATCTAACAAAATATCATTAGATATCCTACGTGGTAGATAAATTTAATGCACTTCATAATTTGCGTTCATTTATAACTCCAAACTAATTGACAGTCTTCAATTGTGGACGAATTGCAGCGCGAATAAAATGGCTTCACATCATTTTTTTACGAGTTCAACAATTAGTTTTTGAAAGTATAAATGAATTATGACCTTATAACTAAAAGTATTGTGATCACCGTACTGAAAATCTAAAATATAAATTGGTTTGATAGTTGTTAATTTTAGTTTCACCGTTCGTGTTTTGTCCTTGAATAGATGAAACAGGAATTTTTCAGTTCATTTTATTCTTTATTTATTAGTTATTTTTCTCTTGATACTTTCTTAATTCCTATCTGCTCTTTCTTCATCTCACTCATACTCATTTTCCCTCGTTAAAAGAAACCGTGTATTTTTGTGTGAACGACAAGTTTCACGAACTTCCTTTTTTTGCTCCACGTATTTGCTTTCTACTCCTTTCAACGCTCATACGCTCTTTCTATTTTCGCAATCCCTATTGTCCTATGGTGTTAAAGATCGTTCGGCGTTTACTTCTTTTCTTTGACAACTTTCTTCATCTCTCACTCAACATACGCAACTCATGTATTACATTTTCTTCGTAGCTCCTTCATTTCGTTCTTAAGCTTAAATTTAGTATGAATGATATAATTTTAACTATAATAAAACTACGCGAATTCGTAATCACATTGAGAAAATATTTTTTTTAATTTTTATTCAGAAGTCGATAGTCCGAAAACATTAGTTTGGCTCACGATATAACTTCAATAAAAATATTCAGTCCCTTATTATTATCGCAACAAATGCAAAAAATAAATATATTTCTGGAGGAATGGATGAGGCGGAGATGGCAAATAAATGATTATTTGGACACGAGAAAACTTCGGTGGAAAACACTAAGCACTTTATTTATTGCTTATGAATCACAAGAGGTGCACTGCGCACTCACAATCACTGTAGACAGTGATGAACAAAATATTAGTAATCTTAAGTATGAAAATAAGGTAAGCAAGCTCTTGTCGCAGCGGCAGCGCGAGAAGGAATGAACATGACCGAGTGCGCTACCGACACCAGGCAGGGGGCAGCAGACTCGCTTAAACAAAAAGATCAGTGGAAGCGTGAACACACACGGCTCGCTCGCGTATATGGCTACTAAGGCCATCTATTCGCCAACACTCCCTCCCGAGCCGGGTGTCTCGTGGTCACCATAATCTGAAACAAAATTAATTAATTTATTACTGGTTCTCTGAAATTTTATGCATCGATATTCTCTTTATTGTTAATTTTTAATTTCAAATATTTATGAGTATTATGAGGTAAAGGTTTGGTCATTATATCTGCTAAGTTTTCCTTAGAAGCTACCCAGTCTACTTTCACTCTGTTATCCTTAACGCATTGTTTAATGAAGTCTCCATGCGTAACAGACATCGGAACTTTTATTCCAGTCCTTTCTCTCTCTTCAATTATGCTCTGAATCTCTGTAGTGGGTAGATCAAAGCACTTTAATTTATGACTTCCTTCCATCTCTGTACAACTCTTAGCTGATCTGTTGTCGCATCGCAGCGTTACAGGATAGAAGGTTTTACCTATAATATCTCTAAGAGCTTTGTCCAAGGATATTATCTCTTGGCATGCTTCGCTTATCGCATAATACTCAGCTCCACATGTTGACGTATTTACGACACTTTGTTTCTTACTTCTCCAAGCCACAGTGTCTCCAAACATTTTGATAATGTATCCACTTGTAGCTTTGGAGCTTTCACAATCGCTAAAGCTCGAGTCAGTGAACACTTCCATATTTGATTCTTCAGCTCTATATACCAAGCCCTCGTTTATGGTTCCTCTGAGGTATCTGAAAATTCTCTTCACTTCGATCCAATCACCTTCAGTCGGAGCTATTTGTCTTCTAGACAGAAGATTTACGGCATATGCTATATCTGGCCTAGTCACGCCAGCCAAATAAAGCAAACTGCCAATAGCTTCTCTGTAAGGTCCTCTGAATGGTTTAGAAAGTTCTTGCATTTTGTTCGGATTTTTCCGTTCAATCTTTTTAACTTGCCTGGTTACCATAGGGGTATCTTGAGGCTTAGACTCTGTCATTGCAAATCTTTCCAAGATTCTCTTGATGTACTCTGATTGCTTCAGGACTACAGTACGTGTATCTCTATTTCTGCTTATTTCCATCCCGAGATACATTTTAGGCTCTCCCAAGTCTTTCATTCTGAATTTTCTGCACAAACTATCTCTTATTTCAATCAATTTATCGTGACAGTTACTAGCGAGTATTATGTCATCGACATAAAGGACCAATACTACAACTTTTCCTTGATATATCCAAGTATATAGGCAAGGCTCATTTATGTCGTTTTCAAGTCCAAGCTCGGTAGCTACCTCTGAAAACTTCTCGTTCCATCTCTTTGGACTTACTTTTAAACCGTATAAAGCTTTGTTCAATTTGCATACATGTTTTTCTCTGAATTTATCGTCTGTGCTTACGCCATCGGGAATCTCCATGTATACTGTATTTTCCAGTGTGCCATTCAAGAAAGCTGTCTTTACATCAAGCTGTATAGCTTCGAAATCATACTTATTTATGATGGCCAAAACTGATCTTATGACTGTCATCCTCGATACCGGAGCATACGTTTCTCTGAGCTCGTAGTCATTATTGTCCTTGAAGCCTCTGACTACAAGTCTCGCTTTGTAAGTTTTCTCATTGTCTAGCGAGGTCTTTCTCTTAAATACCCATCTGGAATCAATGATATTTTCTCTTGAAGGTCTCTCGATAATGTCCCACACTTGATTTTCTTTCATTGAGGACAGTTCTTCGTTGATGGCACGTCGCCAGTTCATTGACTCTTCAGATTTCATGGCTTCTCTGTATGTCGTTGGATCTTTGTATGTCTCTGCTATACTCCTGTATGTGAAGAACTCTTCTGATTCATTACTTTCCTTTTCTTCACAAACTTGATAAACAAAGTTTGGATCCCTCTTAGGATTGGACTTTGCTGTTCTCTTGGGGAGTATTCTTACTGGCATTTCAATTTTTCTTTTAACTGGCAGCTTCGGGCTAGGTATCTCTGAAAGAATGTCTGTCTCTGCAATTTTGTTCTCAATTTTCTCATCCTCTTCAGTTTTATCGGTTTCTATCTCTGCTTCATTTTGTTCTCTGATTTTCTTGCTTTCTTTTGTATTCCCGTATATTATTTTTTCGTTGAATCGAACATGTCTCGAAATTAAGAATCTGTTATGGTTTGGTTGCCACAACAGAAAACCGTTCGACTTATATCCTACCAGGATTGCTGCGGCTGCTTTCTCGCCAAACTTTTTAGTATTTGTAAGAATTTTTGCGTATGCCACACAGCCGAATCTCTTAATTTGGTCAATATTATTTTTGATTTTAGGATTTATCAGTGAGATAGGAGTTTTGAAACCGTTGCTCTTATGAGGAGTTCTGTTGTAGATATATGTCGCAGCGTCGGCTGCCAGGCTCCACATTGTATCGGGTAAGCCTGAGTCGATCATCAGTGCTCCGATTTTATTTTGTATGGTTTTGTTAAAACGTTCGGCAGTGCCGTTCAGCTGAGGGGTATGTGGGGGAGCGAAATCAAAAGTAATTTTCTCTGAATCGATTATCTCTGAAAATTTGCCCCCTGTAAACTCTGTACCGTTATCAGTTCTCAGAAAACAAACCTTTTCGTTTTTGCCTATCAGGTTTCTCGTGTGTATTAGGAAATTCTCTAAACAGTTTCCCGACTCTGATTTATTACTTACGCTGTATACTCTGGCGTATCTGGAAAAATCGTCGATAAGTACGACTGCGTATCTGTTTCTGTCTGGAAATGAAGTTGGACTTATTGGTCCCATTGTGTCTGCGTGAATAGTATGCAGAGGTCTATCTGATCTCGTTCTACTATTTTTGAATGGAATTCGTTCCATCTTTGCTCGTATGCAGATATCGCAGTCAGAGATTTCTTCTCCAAACTTTGCATCTCTGAGAAGGTCGCATTGTTTTTGTAGTTTTACTAGGTAATCTCTAGAAGCGTGACCTAATCGCCTATGCCAGAGCATACCCGCGCTATCGTGTTCAATTTTTGCTGGTTTGGGGAATTTCCAAGTGAGGTTCTCGATTTCGGTATCAGGAACTTCTACATTTAGATCGGTTGTTTTTCTCTGTATACCTGTATCTGTCTCTTTAAGCTCTGGATTCTCCCTCCCAAGCTCTGAAATCTGTGCATTTTCAGAAGCTTGCACATACTCAATATCCGTTAGTTGTGCCGAGAAATCGTACCGTTTCTTGGTGTTATCAGAGCTGTCTGATAAATCAAAGGTTACAATCCAGTTTGGTTCGCAATATACACCTTTTATATGTACTTCTCCGGTCTCTTTATCGAAAATTTTTAGAGCTTTGTTGTCCAAAAATACGCCAAAACCGGCGTCCGCGAATTTTCTTAAGGATAAAAGATTGTCGGCAATATTACTCGCAGCTAAAATATTCCAAAGAATTATCTCTTTATTGTTCTCTGTCATGAAAGTCAAATTTCCCATCCCATCTATTTTGATGTTAGCGGATTTATTTTTATTTGCACTCTTAATTTCTCCTAATTTTGTCTCTGTAAAATTTTCAAGTATCTCTTTTTCTCTGACTATGTGTTCAGTTGCGCCCGAGTCCGCAATGAAACGAATGTTATTATCATTATTTTGTGGGACAAATGACTTACCTGCTTGATTTGCTTTCGGACGTTTAGCATAGGGTGCGAATCTCTTACCTCTGAAGTTACTATTACCTTCGATTTAGAGAATTCGCCCCTTTCTTGATCCATCTCCTTCTGTCTATGCTCCAAAATGACATTTTCGAGTGTGCTGGAGATTTTGTTCAGCTTCTCGACAATGGCCTCTTGGGCGGCTTTGGCAGCCAGCTGCAGCTCTCGGTTCTCCTTTTGCTGTTGCACCAGGGAGTCGAGTAGAAGCTGATTGTTGGTTGCAACATCGAGTTGACTTTGGAGCAGAAATTCTTGGCGAAGAGAACTTTGCCTCATTTCGTTGCACCATAGGGCCTCTTCTCTGTCTTCATCGGTCTCTGTAGATAAGTGATAATTAAGATGAATTTCCATTATTTTATTTTTCTCTGTGACTGCTACATCAATATTGTAGTTATCACTCATGGTACCATATTCATAATTACCCTCTGTAGTTCTCACATCAGGTGAAAAGGTGACCTGCTTTTTGGGTGAGTTCTTCTCTGAATTTTTCTTCTCTGAGTCTCTCATCTCTGAAAAAAAATTAGTTTTTAAATTAGTATGTTTGCACAGCAAATCAACTTATTTAATTTTAGCGTAGTGTTCAATGCACTCCACAGTAGTGCGACCCCGAGCGTGTACACTCCCTCCCAAACCGATATACTGCACTGCCGTATATCGTTACTCATGGATTGGAGATGGCCAATTGCACACGAACGGTGACACAAAACCAAAGAGTACACTTAAAACTGTGTGACAGTCCACACTATATATGTTTACCGAATGCTGCGTAGATTTTTACGATTTATTTCGACTCAAATTTATCGGATCGTCGGAAAAAAATTTCTCTGAAAAAATTCTCTTTTAGTATTTTTAATTTCTCGGAAATGATGAGAGAAAAAAAATATTCACTACGAGCTTTGGTATATGTGCTTAAACACTAATCGCTATTTTGGAAATTAATATCACTTTGAAAAAAAAGTAACGTTATTGGCATTCATTTGCACCAATTACGTCATCAAAATCTCGATCGTATTTTTGCGTATCTAATCCGAGCGCGCATACAGTCCCTATGCACACAAAGACGTCTGCTCAGATGGAGAGAGACAGGCATATATCCGTGCTTCTCTTTCGCACGCGCGAGAGTCACAATATGGCGGCGCGACGCACGCAAGGAAGGCGCACGGTGAGAGAGAAGGAGAGGTAGACGACCACTGCGTCGCGCTCACTTGTCTCACGTGACCAACCGTCTCTTGCTGCGCACGTGTGCTGGCACCGGAAGAGACTTGTCAAAGCACGTTCGACTTTGTCTTTCTTGTAAGCATAAGCCTTGATTTTTGCACAGCAAAAAAAAAGCCGTTGGTACACTGATTTTAATATGCGCGCACTACCTATGGATTTTCGTGACTCTAAGCGGATGATATATTTTTTATTTTTACCTCGGAAAAGAAGAAGAAAAAAAAATCGTAATCTCCTAAACAATTCTCGTAATCTCTAAAACCAATTTGCACTCGCGTAGTGTATTCAGCACTCCCGTAGATATAAAGAGTAAAGAAAAAACACGTTTTTTTTTTTTTTTTTCAATGCGCGAGCCTCTGTAGTAATCTCTATTTCACTTACTCTCTGAAGATTTTCTCGAGTTCTCCTTGTCCTTATCAGCGTGCTGGGCGTCCATAACCTGGAGGAATGGATGAGGCGGAGATGGCAAATAAATGATTATTTGGACACGAGAAAACTTCGGTGGAAAACACTAAGCACTTTATTTATTGCTTATGAATCACAAGAGGTGCACTGCGCACTCACAATCACTGTAGACAGTGATGAACAAAATATTAGTAATCTTAAGTATGAAAATAAGGTAAGCAAGCTCTTGTCGCAGCGGCAGCGCGAGAAGGAATGAACATGACCGAGTGCGCTACCGACACCAGGCAGGGGGCAGCAGACTCGCTTAAACAAAAAGATCAGTGGAAGCGTGAACACACACGGCTCGCTCGCGTATATGGCTACTAAGGCCATCTATTCGCCAACAATTTCAAAGCTTTTATTTGCAAATAAAATCAAAATCTATTTTTTATAAACTAATTATATTTAATTATTATAATGAATTATAATGATAAAAATTATTGAAACGAATAAATAAAATAAGAGAAGAAATTATTTTCTTTTCTCATAATCAAACAAAGGCTTTGCTACCCAATGTGTATGGATTTCAGATAAATTTATCAAAGGTTTGATAAGACTCAATATTTACCTGAACCATCAAAGAAATGGCGACCAATCCTTGACTTTTATGCTGTGCTTCACTCATGTTATGATACAACTCTGCATTAAACCCATAAATTTGAATCTACAATCAAAAAAACAAAACAATTCTATTATTACGATTAAGACCTTAAGTTTTTCTATTTTTGTTTAAATTTCGTTCTGAATAGTCAGACGCGAAATTCGTAAAAACAAAGAATACAGTGAATTGGTTTTTAGTTTAACATTTAATGAAAAATTTGAACATTAAATCATAAAAAAGATATTATAACAGCTCAAAGAAGATGAACCTGAATGCCCTCTGCACAGTAAAATTATTCCTAAGTGTTGGAATTTAACACTCCAGAAGACGTTGATTGTTTTCATTTATGTTCATAATGCAAAATAGACCTTGTCATTATTAAATTCAATCACTTAAGATTTTACAAAACTTTAAAACAAATTATCAATGCTCACCTAAATGAATAAACTTGAAAATAATTTATATTGAGATGATAGAGGGATGTTGAACGTTAAACTACATTGCTTAAAAAACGTAAATTTAATACTGATTTCATGTGAAATGAGACATCGAAACTGTCAACTTAAACCGATACTGTTTTTTATTTTAGATACTTTTACATGAAATCTTAAAAGTAAAAAATTAATGTATATTAGTACTAATTGATTTTTGTACCTAAACTGCAAAAAAATGTATGAAAATGTAATTACATACATTATTTTAAATGCAAAAATGAATCAACAGATATGATTGTATGATTAAATTTAGATATTTTAGTTGAAAAATTGTAGTTTTCGTGCAAATTGAAACGAAAAGGTAGTCAAACCGCTAGATGGCGAATACTCCAATTTAAAAATCTACAAGTGGCTAAGTAAAATAATTCTATAAATAAAGTACGATTTTAAACATACAATTATTTAAACATAAATTACAATTATGAAATACAAGATTGGTTATAGCAAATTAATGTCCTACGCCGTGAAAAACAGAAAAGCCTCAGGGCACGTGAAATAAGTGGCCAAGGGGAAGCCGAGGTCGATTAGCAAACCCATGTTTTTACATCAAATTAAAAGTGAAGAAAAATCGTTTTCTATTCTTACATTAATTTAAATATTTTTAACAGTGCCGCACCGAGTAAATATAACATTTTTCTATGCCAATAATCACAAACCAAATCAAATTTTTGAATATTGGCTCACGGATATAAAATACTGATGTTTCATAAAGCCATCACACTTTAAATATAAATAATACTTTCCAATAAGAAATCATGAATAGGATTATTTTCATAGTTAAGCTTCAAAAGCGTTAAATTAACTTTGAAGACCATGAAAGATTTCAAGTATGAAATTAGTGTTGAACGAAACTCACTGTTGTAAAACGTATGTATGATCTAAATTTAATCTCAATCTAGCTCCTGTTCACATTGTCTCTCTTTGCGAAGAGGAAATCAACGAGCGGAAGAGACGAGGAAGCTGGGAGGGGGTGAGGAAAAGAAACGATCTGTTGAGAACAGGCAACAGCTTATAAGGGACCCGAGGATAGTTTGGTTTGTGTGCGATTGGCATCGAACCGATCGTTATCCTGTCAGCCACAAGATTTATCGTTGTAGAAAGATATCCGATCGAGAAAGAAGACGTCCTTCTCCTCGTAACTCTGACCTGGTTGCCGGAGATTGTACGGCAGTGATTCGCAGCTTCATCTCTCTCTCTCTCTCTCTCTCTCTCTCTTTCTCTGCTTTTAGTCTCGGATTCAAATGAAAAAAACATGTACTGGAGACTTATTTATATTGTGGTTTTATTTTCCTACTTTCTTATCTATAATAAGTTTATGACCAAGATATAAAATATCTTACGAAAGTATGCTTATAAATAAATGAACAAACTCGACGAAGCAAAATGAACCCGAGTTTCTACTGCCAAACATTCTATTATCATAGTACGATATAGTTTTTGCGTTAAAAGTCAGAGTCAAGTTACCGCCTTTTAAAATATTCAGGAACACAAACATTAGGATCTGTATAATTGTTTGAGTAAAAGTACTAACGCTCGGATCAAAGTGAGTCTCCTGCTCAGAAATACATGTATCAGAAAGCTCAGAAGGTCCTTTTACTTGAATCTCTTTCTGGTCCTTTTGCACGGTTGAACACGAACGTATATCTTATTACTATATAGTAGAGAGGATGTGGTTCGCTTGCTCCCCAAAATTTCCACCTGCTTCCCCACAATTTTTTCAAAAATGTGAAATTCACGTGATTTTTACATGATTTTCGGTGTTTTTCCCCGTATAAATTATTACTGTTCCCCAAAAATTCCACTGCTCCCCACTGCTCCCCCACTGCTCCTCCACTGCTCCTCCACCGTAAATCCACCGGATATGTGACAGGTATTTTATAACAATAACGTATATCACGTATAATAATACAAAGGTACTTTTATACATAGGTACTTTTATAATAAACAACAAAAAATTTCCAAGAAATCAAAAAAAAATCATGTCGTGATACGATCAGTCCAGGAGCGGGCTACCTTCCCGTAAGACACTATAGGTAAATGATTAGAATAAGGTGTTATCGATGGGTTTTGACTCGCTGAACCCAAATTTGGTAATTAATGTTGGCTGCAAGTGGTACCATGTGCTTAAAAACCCATTTGTTTAAAAAAATTACTAAAATGGTCGAATATGGATTTTTAAACATCATATTCGTATTCTAAGAAAATTTTTAAGAAAAAAATGTCCCTTGTGATTTTTCTCTAAAATGCATATTTATCGTTAGGTAATCCGTAGAAATCTTGAAAAAAAAACTACAAGACTTTGCATAGAGATGTCCGAAGAATAATAAAAAGCGCTCACATCATCGAAAATATTGTTTTTCATGTTATTACACGCAATCGAGTATCACGAAATTAGCGTTTTTCTCATTTTCATTGGCTTATAACTCGATAAATATGCATTTTAGAGAAAAATCACAAAGAACATTTTTCTCAAAAAATTTTTGGTACAGTATTCGACCATTTTGGTAATTTAATTAAACAAATGGATTTTTGACGATATGGTACCACTCAGAGCTAAAATTAACCACCAAATTCGTGCGTCAAAATTGATCGATAACACCTTATTCTAACCATTCACCTACAGTTTTTTACGGGAAGGTAGCCAGCTCCCGGACTAGATAAATATAGCCAAAAATGTATTTTCCTACAGACTATTTTTTTTTAATTTTTCATCAATAAATTACTTGACCGTTTNATATATATATATATATATTTATATCATATACACATTACACGTGTAACATTAAAATTAATTATTTGGACAGTATAGCTTGAAGCAAGTGAAGCGTGTTGTAGTGCGCATCTCTGCTGCAGTGTGCCTTAATATAGTTGGCATTTAACAGAAGGAGCCATAGTGAGAGAGAGAGAGAGAGAGAGGAGCACACGATGCCTTGTGCCGCAGCCAGTCAACTATAGGGATTAAAGTCATATATCTATCACCACAGAGAATAGGGCATTGTATGCCTCGCAAATCGCGATAGCTCGGGCGGGCAGCATCGTGTATTTTGGAGGGACGGCCTATGTGTGTATGTATGTGTGTGTGTGTGTGTGTGTGTGTGTACTGTGCAGTGGCAGGCACGAGGCTCTCTAGGTGTTTAGGAAGACAATGCTTGCGGCACTTACTCACGGACATGCCGATTTCATGCCGACGTGCTAAGAAAATAGTATGAGATAGAATTAATTATATGCTAAATGCCGATGGCATTTCTCAGGTGGCATCATCGAGCAGCTATTGATGGCCTTCGTGAATCATGTATTGTATTTCCTTCATTAATATAGATCTATAAGTATATCCTGAGGAAAACCATCTTTGACTCATCACTGTCATCAGTTTTGATCACAAGATGACAAGCACTCAGTCTTACAAATTTAATTTTTCGATTAATATTCTATTTGGTTAGGTTTGTTACTTTAATGATTATATGATACGATACAAATGCAGTTCACTCCAAGACTTCCTAAAACTTCCTCGTTATGTCATCGACTATATTTAATTGAATAAATGCTTCAATTAAAAGTGCAGCTACTAAATAGCATAACAAGTCGGAAAGTTTAATAAAGTAAGGATTGGCTTAGGTGTGTAGCACAAAGTTGAATGACAAGTATTCGATGTCTGATTCATATCCGAAGAGAGTCAGAAAAATCAAGAAATTCCCACTCGCAATGATTCTTCTCCTCGTGGCAGAATCGAAAAACTTAGTTAATATAACTTCTGCGCTAGGTGCGAGCATGATTTTTTTAATGGAAAAACATATTCAAGAAAAATGATAAAGATGGACGGTTAAAAAAGAGTACGCTCGATCGAAAGTTAAAAAAACTATGTTACCAAAAACGCAATTGCAAAAAGTACAAAGGCTGTGTGTATAGGAACTGTCGAATCAAGTGACTATGGGCGGGCTTGCAGCTGATTAAACGTGAATCACAAGTTTGGAAAAACTGTCATATAGAGCCTGGAGGCGGCGGCGGTAGTCGTTTAAAAATCGGCGTGCAGCAGTTCATAAGAGGTTCGTTTGAAAAGGCTCGTCATCGTTGGTGCGGCTGAAGTTGGTGCGCACAAGCAGATTCTACATGTTCACTGCACACGAACAGAGAGAGAGAGAGCTAGGGAAGCGAGCAGCAACGGCAGAGCTTTAATCTCCAGCGGAAGTAAGAGGCACTTGTCATCATTGCGCGCGTCAGACAATCACGACATCACGAGAGTCGTTCAACTACAAACGACCATTACAATTACGGCGCGAGGTTCTCTCCCCCCCCTCGTACCCCCAGCTCCCAACCATTTCCGCCCTGCAGGTACACTTCAACCACTGCTGCTGCCGCCGCCGCCGCCGCCGCCGAAGCTCCACCTCGGTTTCTGTAAATTAAGCGAATTATTCATCGTGTGTATATGCAGGAGAGCAGCTCGTGTGCGAGCCACCATCTCCAAGCTACGTGTCTCCTCCTTCGAGATGTACATGCCTGTGCAAGTCTTTTCCAATAATTGTTTACACAATTAATGAAATTTTAAATATCGATTTTCATTGAAAATGCTAC